TCACATCATCCTCCTTCTATGCATGCCCTAATTTCCCCTTTTTATAAGGACACTTAGTCATATTGCTCTAGGGCCCACCCTAATATCTCATTTTAACTTGGTTACTTCTGTAAAAACCCAACCTGCAAATAAGGTCATGTTGTGAATTATTAGGGGTTAAGGCTTCAATATATGGTTCTTGAGGCATTCTGGAGGAATAATAGTGTTAATGGTGAAATCATTGCCCTGTGTGCACTAGGAGGTTGGTGGGATGTCCATTAATGATAATGATTATCACCTCCTTCACCTTAAGAGTTAGTTGTTGATTTCACTTATATTGGAATCTAAAAAACAAAATAAATGAGCAGACAGAATAGAAACACTCATAGATACAGTGAACACTTTGATGGTTCCAGATTGGAGAGGGGTTGGAAGAAGAAGGGTGAAAAAGGTGAAGGGATTTAGAAGTACAAATTGCTACTTACAGAATAGTCATGGGATATAAAGTGTAGCATAGGGGATATAGTCAATAATATTGTAATAACTATATATGGTGTCAGAGGGGTACTAGATTTATCGAGATCATTACTTTGTAGGTTATATAAATGTCTAATCATGAGGTCGTACACTTGAATCCAATATAATATTGTACATCAACTGTAATTTAAAAAGTAAAAAGAGTTAGTTGTTCCCTCGCAAAAGGAGCATTTCTCTGGGGAAAATCATTAAGAGGTGGATTTTTAGTCTTTTACTAACTTTTGCACTTCGAGGCTGGTTAATAACAAGTCTTATGTCCCTCTTCTTTACAATGTCTGTAATTATCTCTAGCTATGAAACTTTTGGAGAGAGCAGATTGTCCTAGCTTGTTTCCTTCAAAATAAGTTGTAAAATCTTGTGTTTTCATTGTTTTGATTTGACCTTTGCTGCAACAGAGTTCTTGTGATGTTGAGCTAGTGCATATATTTCAGATAGAGAGCACCTCATTAATTTACAATATGTTTTGAATATTCTCTCTGATTTCTGGTCATAGTCTTAATGAAGCTAGTGACTAATGATGAAAGGGGCCAGTCATTAGAGTAGTCCTTCCAAACATTTCCTAAACTATTTCTACAGATAGGGACAGATTCATCTCTGTATTCTACAATATTTTATCTTTGACCTATCAATTTTTAATTTTTAAAAATTTATCCTCACCTGAGGACTTTTTTTTCATTGCTTTTAAAAAGAGAGGAAGGGAGAGAAAGAGAAAAACATCGATGAGAGAAACACCAATTGGTTGCCTTTTTGTATACACATGACCAGGAATCGAACCCACAATCCAGGTATGTGCCCTGACTGGGAACTGAACCCACAGAATTTTGGACAATGCTCCAATCTACTGAGGTGCACCAGCCAGGAATGACCTATGAATTTTTGAAGGAAGACTGTGGGAATGAATTCTAAAAGCCCTTTCCCTTATGATGTTAGCTTGTATGTAAGCCTCAAAGTGTTCTGATTTTTTTTTTTGAAGGTCATTTTGAAGAGTGGCCCATTTGGCTTTTCAAACAATAAAGTGTCAGCTCTGGGACTCACTAGTAATGGCACAAGTTGTTATAAATCATGGGTCCTTATCAGGTTCCTAGAACGGACACAATCACACCCACCCAGGAATCAGCACTGAAAGGGCTCAATTTTCTTGTGGGTAGCAGGGGAAGTAACCGAAAGCTGACCGAGAGCCAAGCAAGCAGCATTGTTCCCTCTCAGACCCTTCCCCCACATACAGTGTCACAACACATTGATCTGGGTTGCCCTGCCCTGGCAAATATCTAAGTCTCCACCCTTTCCAACATAACAGGTGTGCTGAGAAAGAGAAATATGGCCCAAATGAAAGAACAGATCAGAGCTCCAAAAATAGAACTAAGCAATGAAGAGACAACCAAACTATCAGATGAAGAGTTCAAAACACTGGTAATCAGGATGCTCACAGAAATGGTTGAGTATGGTTGCAAAAAGGAGGAAAAAGTAAAGGCTGTGCAAAGTGAAATAAAGGAAAATATACAGGGAACAAACAGTAAAGAGAAGGAAACCAGGACTCACATCAACAATTATATTTTATATATATATAAACATGAATGAAGTTGGATGCACTCAACAAGGGAAAGACAGGGAACAATTTATCAGAGAGGGGTGGAGAAACAAAATAGAGGAGGTGATAAATTTCTGGAAGGAAGGAATATTAACAGTTTCAAATGTAGTCAAGGGCAAAGAGAATAAGCATTAGTAAATTGGCCCAAGTAGCTATATAATAAATCCTAAAACCTTAAAAATAAATAGATAAATCATGGGTCCTAAGAGAATATATCCCAAACTGATTATTAGGTTCTTCCCTACTTCTATGGAGGTCCAGAAAAACTGACAGTCAGAGGTAAGTCCTTGAGAAGATTAAGGATTAAAGAATACCTGCTCAGGTAGGTGCTCAGATAACTGACCTCTCACCGGTTAGGAAGGACCAATCAGTAATAAGGGTCCTTGTTATTGGGAATTGGGGGCAAAGTAGTTTCAAGGAGGTAAAGAGGAGTAAAAAGGAAGAATAGAGATGGAAAGATGAGAAAGAGAAATAGAGAAAGCAGGAATGGGGGCAGGAGAAAGAGCTTGGTTGGTCACATGGTGAGTACTAGGCAAGGACAGGGTCCTGAGATTGTGGACTGATGGTAAAAAGAAGCAGTCTTTAAGAGACTGTACAGTTTGAGGTAGAAAGGAGATATTTTACTTTAAGCTTCCTCATACCAAGCAAAATAAGCTGATCATTGGTGAGAAGTAATCTTAGAGCACTAAGACTTTTGGGCATCTAGTAAATAGACAGACTTAGGGAAATTCCAAGTGTTTCAAATGGGCCACTGGAGTTGTAAGTTGTTTTCTGTAAAATTCTGCCATTTTTCAGAAGTAATAATCTGAATTTTCACCCTAGTACTAAAGCATATAATTGGTGAGAATTTTGAAGGCACTTGAGAAGTGAGTTGAGAGTTTCACATAATAATAAGTGTAAATAATAGCTAGAAACAAAACCAAACCAAGAGATGGCTTTAGGCAGTTAACAAAAGTAAATATAGTCTTCCCATAGGATCCAGCAGTCACTCTCCTGGGTATTTACCAAAATAAGTCAAAAACCTGTGTCCACAAAAAACCCAGCATGTGAGTATTTATAGCAGGGGTATTTGCAAGTGCAAAAATTCAAAGCCAACAAAATATCATTCAGTAGGTGAATGGATAAGTAAACTGTGGTATATCCCATACAATGGAGTATTATTCACCAACAAAAGAAATGAGCTATCCACCCCTTCCAACATAACAGGTGTGCTGAGAAAAAGCCATGAAAAGACATGAGGAACCTGAAATGAATATTACTAATTAAATGAAAGAAGGTATCTTTTTTTAAACTGAATTTATTGGGGTGACATTGGTTCACAGAACCATACTGGTTTCAAGTGTAGAACTTAATGAAACATCATCTGCACATTGCATCAGGTACACATCACCCCAAGAAAAGTCTCTTTCTGTCCCCATTTTACCTGCTTTTGCCCACCTCCATCTACCTCCCTGCCCCCCTTCCCTCTGGCTGTCACCACACTGTTGTCTCTGCCTAAGTGTTACATATAACACACATACATATATATATGTTTTTTGGCTGATCCCTTCACCTTCTGAAAGAAGGTATCTTAAAAGACTGTCACTGTATGAGTCCAACTATGTGTTCTGAAAAAAGTAAAACTACAGAAACTGTGAGATCAGTGGTTCCCAGTAGGTGGGGGAGTGTAGAAAGGAGAAGTCATAAATAGACTGAACACAGAGTGTTTTTGTTTTGTTTTATTTGAATTTTTTACAAGAATTTGAGCCAAACTGATGACATATGCCAAAGAGCAAGATCTCAAATGCTTCCCCAACACAGAGAATTTTTAGGGAAGTGAGAACTGTTCTGCACAATGGTGGATACATGACATTACATATATTTAAAGACCATTAGAACAGTACAAAAAGAGTGAACCCAAATATAAACTATGTTTTAATTAATAATATATCAGTATAAATTTTTCACTTGTAATAAATGCATACACTAACGCAAGCTGTTGACAATAGGGGAAACTGTGAAGGGTGGGAGTATACAGGAGCTCCTTGTAACTTTCTGCTGGATTTTCTGGTAAACCTAAAACTAATCTTAACAATAAAATCTGTTATTTAAAAATATATGAACAAAACTTAAAAGGTATTTCTGCGGAGACATGCAGGGTTTTAAAATTTTTTCCTACAGACTCTTGATTTCATGAGTGGGTACTTCATCTTTTATAAATACTAGAGGAAAAGCTTAAACATTGAAACTTTATAGGTACTATATAATTTATTATTGTATTAATAAATATTCAGAGAACCGTATGTATCCTACGAAATTTATCTCACTTAATTCTATAACAACGTTATGAGAGAACTCAAACAATTGATAAATACTAGAACGGGAATCTAATTTGGGTTCCATATTCAAAGTTCTACCATAACACCGAATCGGGAAAATTATCTATTTTTAATTTCGTCATCTGAAACAATGAACAGCCGATAAATCTCGCGATACTATTGAAACTACTACTCCCAACATGCAAAGCGGCTTCGGCCCATCAGCCTATGCCTGTAGACTTGGAGGGCCCCCGGCATGCCTCGAGGCGCGAAAGGCCACCTGGGCACCGTAGTTCCGCTTGACGCCTAGCGGTATTGCCAGCGCGGCGCAGGCGGCTCTCTCGGCTTCAACCAGCGGGTTCAGTGAAGGCGAGCTGAGGCGGAGAAAGGTGTGGAAGTGGAAAAGGGTGAGTTGGCACGGTCTACGCGATAAAGGCAGGTAGCACCTTGGCACAGGGCTGAATTAAGTAAATGGACTCGTGTTGCTCTCTTTCTGGAGACACCGTTATCTTTGTGCCTGCGATAGCAGCGTGAGGCGGCAAAATCCGTTCCTAGCCTAGTACCCGCTCTCGTCCTCAGCACCCTCCTCCATATCCACCATGCAGTCCCAGGAAGATGCTCCACGCTCCCGCCGCCTCGCCAGTCCTCGGGGTGGGAAACGGCCCAAAAGGATTCACAAGCCCACGGTTTCGGCTTTTTTCACGGGCCCAGAGGAGCTGAAGGACATGGCTCATTCTGCAGCCCTGCTGGCACAGTTGAAGTCCTTCTATGATGCGCGGCTGCTATGTGATGTGACCATCGAGGTGGTGACGCCTGGCAGTGGGCCTGGCACAGGCCGCCTCTTCCCTTGCAACCGTAACGTGCTGGCTGCCGCATGTCCCTACTTCAAGAGCATGTTCACTGGCGGCATGTACGAGAGCCAGCAGGCGAATGTGACCATGCACGATGTGGATGCCGAGTCCTTTGAGGTGTTGGTCGAATACTGCTACACGGGTCGTGTGTCCCTAAGTGAGGCCAATGTGGAACGCCTTTACGCCGCCTCGGACATGCTACAGCTCGAGTATGTGCGGGAAGCCTGTGCCTCCTTCCTAGCCCGCCGCCTTGACCTGGCTAACTGCACCGCCATCTTCAAGTTCGCCGATGCCTTCGGCCATCGCAAGCTGCGCTCACAGGCCCAGTCCTTTATAGCCCACAACTTCAAGCAGCTCAGCCAGATGGGTCCGATTCGGGAGGAGACTCTGGCAGATCTGACTCTGGCCCAGCTGCTGGCTGTCCTGCGCCTTGATAGTCTAAACATAGAGCATGAGCAGACAGTGTGTCACGTTGCTGTGCAGTGGTTGGAGGCGGCTCCCAAGGAACGGGGTCCCTGCGCTGCAGAAGTCTTCAAGTGTGTCCGCTGGACACACTTCACTGATGAAGATCAGGACTACCTGAAAGGGTTGCTGACCAACACCACTGTGAACAAGTACTGTCTGGACCTTATCGAAGGGGCCCTGCAGATGCGGTATGGTGACATGTTGTACAAGTCTGTGGTGCCAAAGCCAGGGTGTAGCAGCAGCAGCTCTGTTGTATCCACAGGAGAAAATCCACCCCAGAGGCTGGGTGCATGTGCCAAGAAGATGGTGATCTTCTTTGGTCACCCTAGAGATCCCTTTCTGTGCTGTGACCCATACTCTGGAGATATTTACAAAGTGCCCTCACCTTTGACCTGCCTTGCTCACACTCGGACTGTAACTACCCTAGCAGTCTGTATCTCTCCAGACCATGACATCTATCTTGCTGCCCAGCCAAGGAAAGACCTTTGGGTGTATAAACCAGCCCAGAATAGTTGGCAGCAACTTGCAGATCGCTTGCTCTGTCGTGAGGGCATGGATGTGGCCTACCTCAATGGCTACATTTACATCTTGGGTGGGCGAGACCCTATCACTGGACTTAAATTGAAGGAAGTGGAATGCTACAGTGTTCAGAGGAACCAGTGGGCACTGGTGGCTCCACTACCCCATTCTTTTATCTCCTTTGACCTAATGGTAATTCAGAACTATCTTTATGCTCTCAACAGTAAGCGCATGTTCTGCTATGATCCTAGCCACAATATGTGGTTGAAGTGTGTTTCTCTTAAGCGCCATGACTTTCAGGAAGCCTGTGTCTTCAATGATGAGATCTATTGCATCTGTGACATCCCAGTCATGAAGGTGTATAATCCAGTCAGAGGAGAATGGAGACAGATTAATAATATTCCTTTGGTGTCAGAGACCAGCAACTACCGGATCATCAATCATGACCAAAAATTGTTGCTGATCACCTCACGCACCCCACAGTGGAAAAAGAACCGGGTGACCATCTATGAATATGACATTAGTGGAGACCAGTGGATTAATATCGGTACCACATTAGGCCTCTTCCAATTTGATTCTAACTTTTTTTGCCTCTCAGCTCGCGTTTATCCTTCCTGCCTTGAGCCTGGTCAGAGTTTCCTCACTGAGGAAGAGGAGATACCAAGTGAATCTAGTACTGAGTGGGATTTAGGTGGATTCAGTGAGCTGGATTCTGAGTCAGGAAGTTCAAGTTCTTTATCTGATGATGATTTGTGGGTCCAGGTAGCACCTCAGTGATATGCACAGGATCAGCAGTTTGTTGTAGATAGGCTGAAACACTAAGGTGTTTTACTGCTTTGGAAAGTATCTTAAAGAAACACCATTTCCCTTTACAGGAAAAAAAAGGTTGATTGATTTCAGGTTTTGTTTAGAAAGGGTATTGTTTGAAATGCTAATATAATTTAATGTTAAAGAATTTAAGCACTCCAAAAAATAAACCTATTTAATAATTTGCTGTTCTAAAAGTCCAGTATTGATTTGATTGTATAATATGTTTATGTTTGATTATGCTAATTTTGCCTTACATTTTGCTTAGTGCCACAAGTACAGTAACTGGAATTTTAAATTTTGTAATAGAAGACTGACTAGATAGGAATTACTAGATATGGTTTTGAACGTATATATTTTCCTTGAGAACAGTGTAGTAGATTTCCAAAACTTTAAACTGTGGGTTTTTTACAAACTGTGTTCTAACTTAAATATAGTTTGCTAAGTATTAGTTTAGTTTACTTTTTTTTTGTGAAGGAAAAAAATGCACATTTGTTTAATGTGATTGAATGCTAATTTGTAATGTGACTGGATGTAATACTTTGCAGAATGGCATTCACTGACAGTAAAAACAAAATATACCAGGATTCTACCTTTGAAAAAGAAATTTCAGTTTTAAATTTGTAATATAAAAATGTGTATTTGCAAATAGTGACCAATTTTTCATCTAAAAAGAATTCCATTTTAGCAGTGTTACCAATCATCTACAAAACTTAAAAAAACAAAAACAACCCCGCCTCCACCCAGTAACTTGCTTTGTAGGTTCATATTTTTTCATCTATACTTGGTACATGAGTCACTGAATCAGAGGAATAATCCTTATTGTCACTGGACATGATTTTGTAAATTTTTATCCATTGTCTTAGAGTTATTGTGATTCTTAAAATATTTTGGCTGTATAGTTTTAGTGTTCATCTAAGATTTGTCAGCAAGATGTGATTATTCTTTATGGTTTTGTGAGGTAATACTGGTTTTGAAAATATGTATAAGCTAAGAACAGTATTTTATTGATTAGTAGTTACTGTATCAACTATAAAATCAAGTGCCAGAAAAGAACTTTAAAACTTTTAAGTTTTAAGTATAGAACTGTTTTGTGTAGCACTGAAATATTGTCAGTTTTGTAAGTCACTAAATGTTATTATCAGCTTAAAGGTATTTTTGTATTAAAAGTTTACAGTTAAATAACATAAGTGGATGATGGCATTTGGGGCCAGTAGTGAAAGTATATTTCGTCTAAAATATTTCCCTAAGCAGTTGTACACATGGTTATTTTATTAGGGTATTTGTATCTGTTCTGTGTTTCTCTGTGAATCAATGCTTCAGTCTTTGTTCCTGTCACTGTATGTAAGAAAAAGTCCTGAAATGAAGACTACATCACACAACTGACATTGTTAAATACCAGAAAATATAAATGTTTAATTACATCTTGAGGTTTACTAGATATGGTTGTCGTTATTCATATACATAATAAATGACCAGATGCTTATAGTGTATAAACTTTCTATATCCAATTAGAATTATCTTCATTTAATAACATGCTAATTCCTCTTCTATGTGTATTTTTTAGTGACAGAATTCTAACATTTCATGCACCCTGGCAGAGTGCTGAGGTGTGTGTTCTCACAGTTGGAAAACTGAATTTTTGAATGAAAATACCATAGGGTGAAAATGAAGAGAGGGAGACACAAGGTTTAAAAAGAAAAGTTTTCTGAGCCATTTTTATTGGTCATTTGAAGATTTTACAGAACATTCCTGTTTAACATTTTTAGTGAAATTAAATGCTTGTCCTAGCAGTATGTATTCCTTTAAAAGGCCAGGCACGCTTTTAGTTGCCTTAGGCTAAATTTTGTTCCATTTGCCATCAGGGTTGTAAGCACTGTACTTAACACAAAACTCTTTCTCAGTCGTGTTATTTTGGACCAGCTTTTTCTTCACCAGTAACTTCTTTTGATAGTTTTTGTTTTTTCATGTTGTAATAGGACAATGCTGATTTCATCCATATTATCCATCTGCAGAACTAAGGTATGCAACCAATTTATAAAAGACAAATTCTCCAATTTGTCATTTTCAGCCTTTCACTTAAAGACTAAGCCAAATGATAATAATATATTTGTTGACAAAAAGGTTTCTTGGGAAGAATTTTGGTTTTGTGATATATTTGTGAATTAGGGAATAGATGTTAACCATTATTTTATAGATAAGTGATTTGTATGTGATTAGTTACAAATAAAAATGGTACTAAAACCCAGACTTTCTGACTTTTTAATTCAGCATTTCTGCTGAATGTATACAACAGCCCTTGCTTGTGCAGTGAGTGACATAACTAGCAGTGTTGAAAACCTTTCTTAATACAAAAGCACACTTGGCTCAATTTTTCAATTAATCATTACATTTTTTTAGCAAATTCTCAATACAGTGTTTTTTGCAGAATTCCTATTATTTATTAGATTTGGAATAACCTTAACTATCTTGTATATCTGCTCCTGTAGTCTGAAATGCTGTAAGGACCCACATTTTTGCAAGTTCTTTTTAGTTCAAATGATGTGGCATTAGGGTTTCCAAAAGGATGAAGTAGAAATTAATGTAGCAATTAGCTTGTCTATATATGGATAAAGATTGAAATTAACTTTTCATTTTTATTTGAGCTGGAATTTAAAAATTGTTCTTACCTGATCTTGTTGAGAATCTCAGGAAAGCTTTTGATATAGTCCCCTCACTAGGCAAATATTTATAATTTAATATTTTCAATTATTTATAACACTTTTGAAGTTCATCAGACCCAGAGTTAGTGGCAATGTCTTTTTTCCATACCTGCTTAAAAATTTCAACACCCTTTTCATCATTCTAACTAACTTTAAAGGAACATTTATTCTAGTAAATTTGATAAAGCAGGATAGTATTGACAGGGCAGAATTATTTATAGAAAATGAGACTCAGTAAAATCCCAAGAGAATTAATGTTATTTTCAGAAACAACAAGAGGGTTCAATATTTACAAACCAATTTAATAGTAATACAAAAAATAATGGAAAAAGATCCGGTTCACAAAAGCTACCAAACTTCAAAGTACCATGGAATCAATAGGTTTTGTGCAGAATAGGGAAAGGGAGCCCCTCCTTGACTCTGAGCCAAATGTTTCCTGGGCCTGTTTCATCAGGCTTCTATTCCTCACACCTTTAAACCTTGAGGACTCAACATGATCTGAGGCATAGGGAGAGTAGGAAACAGATGTTTTGCATAACATCCCGTCTATATCCTAGACATACTTTCTTCTAAAGCAGCTTGTGGGGAGTGAAACTTGTACATTCTTACCCCCAAAGCTAAAACTGCTGCTTAGAACCACCCTATCTCAATCAGGAATATTTTGAGGGGATACACTATTCATTATTTCTGGGAACACTGGTTAAAAAGGACTATGTAAATATTAGGCAAAGTATTTCTTCTAAAACAGGTGTTTTTGTGTATTAAAAAAGAAGAGCTTGGACTCTCAGTTGTAAACAGTATTACCTTAATATAGATCATATTAAGAAAATAAAGTAGAATTTTTTGCCCATTGTAACTGAAAATCTCAGCAATATCATTCATTTCAGGCACAGTGTGAACCAAAATCTCAGTGACTTCAGGGTTTTCTTTGTACAGAGAACATATCACAGATGTGTTCTCTCACTTTATACATTAGTTAGAATCTAGGTACAGTTATATAGAGAGAGACCTAGTAGGTTTAATAAGATAGACATTTCTCTATAAAAGTTCAATCCATTATGTTGCCCCTGATCTAGAAAGTCATCTGAGACCAAACTTTCCTGTTTTCCTGTTCTCTGCTTAAGAATGTTGTCCTGGTCCACATGGTACAAGCTCATTTACCTTTGTGTTCATATTCAAGTCATCAGGAAGAGGGGAGGGAGGAAGGGAGGACATGACTCTTCCCTATAAGGGATGTTGGGCACATTCTTTCCAGTCATGTGGCATTGGTCAGATGTTAACCACATGGTCACACTTCATTGCAATGGTGCTTAAGGGAGGCAGTTTTTATTCTGGGTCAAATGTATATGCTTAAAATTCAGGGATTCCTTATAGAATGGGGTAGAAAAGCTATTAGGTTAAATAGCAATCTGCTATACCATATGTCAGGCCAGATTTTATCACATGGCAGCCAAAGTGGTAACGCCATGCCAGGAGTTAACTACAGTTGACACAACATGGAAAATCTTCCCACCTGGGAAAGACTTAGAGAGCTTCCTAGGCTCTTGCTGTTGCTCTGTACAGAAGAGGTAATGGCACATGGTGTGTTTTGATCTTGCTTTGATTAAATAAAACTTAATAGACTATTGCATCCTGGCACCCTATATCATGGGCTTAAAGGGTTGAATTGGGAGAACAGACTTCTGGCCAAGATGGAGGCATAGGTAGATACATTTTGCCTCCTCACACAACCAAAAGAAGGACAATAATAAATTTAAAAACAAAAAACAACCAGAACTGCCAGAAAATTGAACTGTATGGAAGTCTGAAAACCAAGGAGTTAAAGAACAAACATTCATTCACACCAGTAGGAGGAACGGAAACAGGCAGCCAGGGTGGAGAGGCTGTGTGGCAAGGTGGCAGCTGACAGACCAGGAGGACCCACATTTGCTTGTGGGTAAACTGGGAGGAACAATTGGGGAGCGAGACAGACTGCAATCCAGGGTTACAGCATGGGAAATAAAGCCCCAAAACCTCTGGCTGTAAAAACCTGTGGGGGTTTTGGCAATGGGAGAAACTCCAAGCCACACAGGAGAGTTCATTGGAGAGACCCACAGGGTCCCAGAATGTACATAAACCCACCCACCCAGGAACCAGCCCCAGAAGGGCCCAATTTCCTTGTGGGTAGCAGGGGACATGACTGAAAGTCAGCAGAGGGCTGAGCAAGCAGCATTGTTCCCACTCTGACCCCTCCCTGAACATACAGCACCACTGCACAGCCATGTGAGTTACCCTACCTTGGTGAATACCTAAGGCTCCGCCCCTTACAAGGTAATAGGCATGCTGAGACAAAAAAAAAATATATATATATATATATATATATATATATATATATATATACATACACACACATTCCAAATGAAAGAACAGATCAAAGCTCCAAAAACAGAACCAAACAATGAAGAGATAGTCAACCTATCAGATGCAAAGTTCGAAAAACTGGTAATCAGGATGCTCACAGAAATGGTTGAATACAGATGCAAAATAGAGTAAGAAGAGAAAGCTATGGAAAGTGAAATAAAAATATACAGGGAACCAACAGTAAAGGAAAGGAAATGGGGTCACATCAACGATTTGGAGCAGAAGGAAGAAATAAACATTCAACCAGAACAGAATGAAGAAACAAGAATTCAAAAAAATGAGGAGAGCCTGAGGAACCTCTGGGACAACTTTAAATGATCCAACATCTGAATCATAGAGGTGCCAGAAGGAGAAGAGGAAGAGCAAGAAATCGAAAACTTAATTGAAAAAATAATGAAGGAGAACTTCACCAATCTGGCAAAGGAACAGACTTGCAGGAGATCCAGGAAGCTCAGAGAGCCCCAAAGAAGTTGGACCCAAGGAAGCACACACCAAGGCACATCATACTTACATTACCCAAGATTAAAGATATGGAGAGAATCTTAAAATCAGCAAGAGGAAAGAAGACAGTTACCTACAAAGGAGTTCCCTTAAGACTATCAGCTGATTTCTCCAAAGAAACCTTGCAGGCAAGAAGGGGCTGGCAAGAAGTATTCAAAATCATGAAAGACAAGGACCTACATCCAAGATTACTCTATCCAGCAAAGCTCTCTTTTAGAATGGAAGGGCAGATAAAGTGCTTCCCAGATAAGGTAAAGTTAAAGGAGTTCATCATCACCAAGCCCTTATTATATGAAATGATAAAGGGACTTATCTAAGAAAAAGAAGAAGATCAAAAACTATAAACAGTAAAATGACAATAAACTCACAACTATCAACAACTGAACCTAAAACAAAAACAAAAATAAACTAAGCAAACAACTACAACAGGAACAGAAAGAATCACAGAAATGGAGATCATATTGAGGGTTATCAGTGGGGCAGGGATGGGTGGAAGATGGGGACAAAAGTACAAGGAATAAGAAGCATAAATAGTAGGTACAAAATAGGGGGAGGTTAAGAATAGCATAGGAAATGGAGAAGTCGGAGAACTTACATGTACTAACCTATGGACGTGAACTAACAGCGGGTGGTGGAAATGCTGGTGGTGGTGGGGGTGCAGGGCAGAGGGGAATAAAGGGAAGAAAAAATGGAACAACTAATAGCATAATCAATAACATTTTTTAAAAAATCTTGGTATTATGTCATGGAATGTTTCAACTTCCTAAAAGGAAATAAAAGAACTGAAAAATGGCTCTGTATAATCAATTGTACTATTAATTATCTTAAACAACAAATATTCCTTCTGTTAAATAACATATCAGAATTATAGAGTAATAAAAACAGAATTTCTTAGAGCAAGCTAGGCTGTTTAGCAACATTCTAGGTTTTCTGTGCCTGGATCATTTTTGCTATGTTAATGTGATCTACTGTCTGTCTCTGTTGAAACGCAGGCCATTAGCCACAATAGTCTATTCAAAACTTAGGTTTTTGTGCTCACTCCAGCAGCACATATACTAAAATTGGAAGGATGCAGAGAATAGCATGGCCTCTGCTCAAGGATGACATGCAAATTCATGAAGTGTTCCATATTTTTAAGAAAGTTTATTGATGAATTTTTGTAATGACTTTAGGTTAATCATGTCACATTTTGTATTTGTGAAAAATTGAAAAACAGTTTCCAGAGGATATTTTGAATAATTGCTTCTGTCAAGTATGTGATATAACTTTTACCATTCTAATTTTCATTACAAATACCCATACTTATTTTAAAAGCACATTCAACCCTTGTTTTCATATAGAATCCTAACCTCTGCCAGAAACTGAAGAGTAAGTAATATTTCAGTTGTAGTTGTGATTCTATTCTTATATTAACAAAGACTGTAAGACTCCATTTTCTGTTTCACTTCTACTAAATCTCTTATGAGCCTAAAGGCAAGAGTTTAAATATATGCTGTGTCTAGGTTCTTCTCCATATATTGTACATACACTTGTTTAGTATCTCAGTCTCATTACTTTCTCTCCAGTAGGGCCTTCCTCATGCTGGAATTATTCAGTTTAACAATTTGTTTACTCTTTGTTATTTGTCTCTTGTACTAGAATGTGTTCTCCATCATGGAAAGACCACATCTTTCTTTTCCACAGGTCCTGACATAGAACCAGGAACAGCATAGGCTCTTGATGAATATTCGTTGAACAAAGAAATAAATGTATTTGGTGCTTGCTTGCATTTATATGACAAACCATTGCATTTAAAGCTCTCATCTTTCTGTCAATTTTCCAGCTTTGTGGGAGAGCTATTATTAAACTCTTTTTCCTGGTTGTCATAGCAACCCCTTGGCCTCCAGAGCTATGGGTTATTTCTAATGGGCATATTCCGCCAGACCACCAAACACTCAGTATCTTCAATTATGCGATAATGATGCTATTATAAATCACATTTCTCACAGTATGTATTTCTCTGCCTTTTATAAAAATGGTGGAGAATTGGGAAGTAAATATGTTCAAACCAACACAAGCTAGGGAAGATAAAGCAATAAGTGGAACACACATCTCTGTTCCCAACCCTTTCCTATTCCTTCAAGTTCTTCACCTTTTCATAACCACCTGTGAATTTATTTGGGTTTTCTGTCCATGTTTTTAAGAAAGTTTTGAAAGTTAGTTGCTATAAAACAAACTCTAAAGAGCTCTGGTATAGCTTAAATATTTTGTATTTTTCTCCTCCTTGCTAATTTTTTAAAAAATTTTTTGTTATTGTTTCTTTTTTTTTAATTTATTTTTTCAAATACATTTGTCTCTGCCTACCCCCCACCACTTTCCCTTGCCCCCTCCCTCCTTCCCTCCCTCAGCTCTTTCCCTTTTGGTTTTGTCCATGAGTCCTTGCTATATGTTTCTTGACTTTCCCCTTCCCTTCCTTTTCCCCGTCCCCCCTCCCTCCTTCCCTCTTGTCTCTGTTGATTTCTTTTCCTTTCAGTGTTGCTGGTCTTATTTTCCTTGCATCTTTGTATTGTTGGTTAGGTTCCACTTATAGGTGAGATCATATGGTATTTGTCTTTCACCCCCTGGCTTATTTTGCTTATCCTTGCTCATTTCTTAAATTTCATGTTAATTCAGCAAATGAGAATAGGGTTACAGAAATTGAGATTTGCTCAAAAAAAATCCAAAATCAGCTACTTCCCTCCCCCATGCCTTCCACTCACATTTTAGTGGCAGGAAGTGAGACAGGTTTTATTAAACTGGATTAGTCATCATAGAAAACTCATTATCAGTTCAATAAAACAGGGTATATATGGGTCCTCAACCAGCCATGCATGTAGTTTTTAAAAGGCAGAGTCTATTTTCTAATGGTGGATACCCTAAGGGATTTTACATATATGTTTTGCTCTATGTCCTCTTCTGCAAGTTTTGGTCACATGTACTAGGGACAGTCAGGAACCACCGAGCTCCAAGGTAGATCCCATAATAAATACTTCATTACATCCTTCCTCTGTTCAGTTCTAATTGTAATACCAATCAGTTAAACAATTGCATGACTTGGCCTGGCCAGGTAGTTCAGTTTGTTAGAGCATCATCTTGATAGCCAAGGATGTGGGTTTGATCCCTGGTTAGGGCACATACAAGAATCAACTAATGAATGCATAAGTAAGTGGAACAACAAATTGGTGTTTTCTCTTCCTTTCTCTCTCTCTCTCTAAAGTCAATTAAAAAAAAACAATTGCATAACTTATTTAAAAGAAATTACAGTATATTGCAATTAGCTGACCAGGGCTTTAACATTATAAAAACAGTAACCAGATCAATACATTCAACCATCTTCAATAAGTACTACATAAATAAGTGAAATAAATCAGTCAGAGACAGACAATAATTTCACTTATATGTGAAATCTAAAGAATATAAATGAACAAAACAGAAACAGACTCATAGATACAGAGAACAGACTGATGGTTGCCAGGAGGGATGAGCGGGGGACTGGATAAAAGAACTGAAGGGATTAGACAAAGAACATACATGCATGACCCATGGACATGTACAGCTGTGGAAGAGATGGACAGCTGGGTGGAGGTGGACAAAGGGAAAAAAGTAGGGATTTGCCAATGATACCTCAGACAAAGTTTTGATCTCCAAAATATATAAAGAACTCACAGGACTCCACACCAAGAAGATAAGCAATCCAATTAAAAAATGGGCAAAGGACCTGAACAGACATTTCTCCAAGGAGGACAAACAGAGGGCCCACAGACACATGAAAAAATGTTCAACATCACTAGCCATTAGGGAGATACAAATTAAAACCATAATGAGATACCACTTCACACCAGTCCAAATGGCCATCATTAACAAATCAAAAAACAAGTGCTGGCAAGGTGGTTGAGAAAAGGGAACCCTAGTGCACTGTTGGTGGGAACACAGACCGGTGCTGCCACTGTGAAAATAGTATGGAATTTCCTCAAAAAACTAAAGATGAAACTTCCTTTCAATCCCCTGATCACACTGCTGGGATTATACCCTAAGAATCTTGGGTCACCAATTCAAAAGAACCTATGTACCCCAACGTTCATGGCAGTGTTATTTACAATAGCCAAATAGTGGAAACAGCCTAAGTGCCCATCAGTAAATGAGTTGATCAAAAAACTGTGGTACGTTTACACAATGGAATACTATGCAGCAGAAAGAAAGAACTCCTATCCTTCATGAAAGCATGGATGGAACTGCAGAGCATTATGCTAAGTTAAATAAGCCAGAGGGTGAAAAACAAATACCATATGCTCTCACCTATAAGTGGAATTTAATCGACAAAACAAACAAATGAGCAGAATAGAACCAGAGACTTGGAAATAAAGAACAAACTGGCAGTGACCAGAGGGGAGGGGAGAGGGCAATAACAGGGGAAGAAGGGGAGGGGCAAACAAAGGAACACAAATAGAGGACTAATGGGCACGGACAATGAGGGGGGATGGACTGTGGGCATTGGGGGGTGGAGGATGGGGTAGGGGTGAGCAATGGGGGAAAAGGTGAGGCAACTGTAACTGAACAAAAATTTTAAGAAACAAAAAAAAAAGTGTACATAGAATATTCTCCAGGATAAGTCATATGTTGGGCCACAAAACAATGATTTTTTAAAAATCTAGCACTGAAAACAAAAGCAACAAAAGCAAAAAATAAACAAGTGGGACTACATCAAATTAAAAACTTTCTGCACAGCAAAGGAAACAAAGAAAATGAAAAGGCAGCCTATGGAATTAGAGAAACTATTTCCAAACCATATATCTAACAGAAGGTTAAAATCCACAATATATAAGGAACTCATACGACTCTATAGCAAAATAAACCCAATTTTAAAAATGAGCAGGTGACCTGAATAAACATTTTTCCAAAGACATCTACATGATCAATAGGTATATGGAAAAATGTTCAACATCACTAATCATCAGGAAGTACAAATCAAAACCACAATGAGATATCACTTCACACATGTCAGGATGGCTAGTGTCTAAAAGACAAATGATAACAGGTGTTGAGGTTGGGGGGTGTTGAAAAAAAGAAACTTTCAGCATTTGTTGATAGGAATGTAAACTGGTGCAGCCATTATGGAAAACAGCATGATGGTTCCTTAAGAAATCAGAACTACCATAGGATCCAGCAAGTGCACTTCTGGATATGGAAACATGTATCTCTTAGATCTTTTTTGAGATCAGATAGATATCTGGATTCCTATGTTCATTGCAGCACTATTCAAAATAATCCAGATATGGAAATAATCTAAGTGTCCATCAATGGATAAATGGATAAAAAATGGGGTATACAGATAATGGATTATTATTCAGACTTTAAAAAGAAGGAAATCCAGCCCTGACTGGCGTGGCTCAGTGGGTTGGGCATGGTTCAGCAAAGTGAAAGGTCACTGGTTCCATTCCCGGTCATGCCTGGGTTGCAGGTTTGGTTCCTGCTTGGGTGTGTACGAGAGGCAACCAATCACTTTTTGTCTTCCTCTCTTTTTCCCTTCCTTCCTCTTTCTCTAAAAATAAATAAATAAAATCTTCAAAAAGAAAAAAAGAAGGAAATCCTGCTACTTGCAAAGTGAAATAAACCAGACACACTGCAGAAAGACAAATATTGCATGGTATCACTTATATGTGGAATCTTTAAAAAAAATAAGTTGTACTCAGAGAACCAGAGAGTAAAATCGTGGTTGGTAGGGGCTGAAGGGTGTGGGAAATGAGGAGAGGTTGGTTAGAGGACACAAACTTTCATTTACAAAATGAATACATTTTGAGGATCTAATGTATAGTGTGGTGACTATAGTTAATCATACTGAATTGTATATTTGAATTTTCTAAGAAAATAGATCTTAAGTGGTCTCACAGAAAAAAAAATTAAATAAAGTAACTGAGGTGATGGATGTGGAAATCAATTTCATTGTGGGAATCCTTTCACAATGTTTTAGCTATCAAAACATCACACTGTACACTTTAAATAAATTACTTTTGGGGTCAGTTTACCTCAATAAATCTGGGGGGAAAGGAAAATATAACTTTCAAACAGAGTAAATAGATATAGTGATCCCTGATCAACACATTAGTTGTGTTGTCCAGT